TGGACATCACATATTGAAAATTTATGTGACCATTCCATATCAGGGATGACCATCCTGTCTTCTTGCTTTACACAACAATAGGCATTGGGTGAGCAATAGGTTATGTCAGATAGCAGTTGAGGGAACCCTTTGTAGCATAATTCTCCATTTGATGGTTACAGTGGTGTAATCTGATGTTTCATGACCAAATTATACAATGTTTTTCTATGATGGAATGTCTGCATGGATTGCATTAAGTGAGATGTTTCTTTTTCCATGCAGGTAAGCTGTGCATGTGATCATGTTTGAAGAAATGCCTAATTCACCATCCCAGGGTCTTTTCACAACTTGTTCTGGCATATTGTGGTGGTGCAGGTAAATGTGCAACGGGTGATTGCTTGTCATAGTATTGCCATTCATGCAGGTGAGCCTGTTTGTCTTTGGTCATCATCAAGGTGTAGAAGATCTGAGAAAGGCCTTACACACATTTCTTTTTAAAAAAGGGACAAATTCGAAGGCAAGGTTGTGGTTTTTGATAGATGTTTATATTTTTGATGGCCAGTATCTGGTTCTAATTTAAAAATTTCTTCTTTTCTCAAGCATCAATGTGGCTAGTACCAACACAAGCAAGACCTAGCTATCTATTGAAGGTGGTATTTTTTAATGTACTCATAGCATCCCTTTCTATTGGGGGAAACATCAAAGATTCCAGGTCAGGGTTTCCAAATAAGATCAGAAGTTTGACATTGTTTGATTCAACAAAACCCACAATCAGTATACTGTAGTTTGTCTGTTGGCTTTTTATTTGATAATTTAGGTATAATTTTTATTGTATTTAATTTACTCAGATACATGTATTAAATTTTAAGGGTAGGGGGAATCACGTGTTAATTTAATAGTAAATCATTGGGGTGGTCGATATACTATGTAAATCAAAACTATATGTGGTACCATATAAAAATTAATAGATGGGAAGGTGTAAAATGCTTACGTTTTTATAGCCTCAAAAATGTTTCGGAAGAATCGTTTTTGACCTCATAAAAAAATTATTTTTTTTTACTAAAAAAGTTTTAACCGTGGATAATGTAAAACATTGATGATTTTTTTATTTGTACATACACATAAAGTAACGTATTTGGAAATTAATATTAGTATTATCAAGAGGGAAACGCTTCTTGAAAAAGATTTTTCGCAAATAATTATTATCGAATCATTCATTTCTCGAAAAGAATACATAAGTATATATTTGGAAATTTTTTATTGCTATATAGTTATGCGTGAATTTGAAATTTCGTGTACTGGTACAAAATTTTGAAATTTGTGTCAATTTATGCAATCAGAAAAACATCTATCCAAAATAATAAATTTAAATTAGATTTTGACATGCTATTACTATGATGATCTAATGATTTCTCTATTTGTATATTTAATATATTTGGAAATTTGACCATTGCAAATAGCTTCTACCAAATAGTTACTATTATCATAAATAGTTACTACTGTTCCAAATAATTACTATCGCCGTGATTAATACTGCCATAAATGACATAAATGATTAATTATTACTATTATTATTCCCGTTGTAAATAGTAACCGTTATGGTACTGGTAATCTAAAGACATCAAAAAAAAAAAATCGCGCAACTTCAAACCACTCATGGTTTTTTTTTTATTAATAAAATAAAAACTCCTATTTTTGCTATATTTAGAACCTTAGCAACAATAAAATACAGAGTTTTTTTCAATTTTATTAATAAAAAAGAAGCTCTAATGGTTTGAAGTTGCACGTCTTTACTATCAGACACCCCATGACACGTGACCAGAACAATTTTGCTTATTAAATTCTTTGTATCATAATATTATAATAACAACACGATTGGCCAATTTTGGTGCTCCAAAAGAACATTAGAGTTCTATTTGTTGTAATAACAACAACAATAATACAAATTCTTTTTAATTTGTTTGTTTGTTTGTTTTCTTGTCCTATCCGTTTGTTTCAGAGTACCTTTTATAAGGTAGTCATGTTTTTGGCAAAAAAAAAGATGGAGATTTGCAAATAATGTGGTACGGCTTTTTATTTATTGTAAACATAATAAAACATAATAATAAAATATGAATACATCAAATTTTTTGGAGTATTACAATTTTTTTATGTTTCAAGATCAAAAATATTGCCATCGATTGGAGTCTTTATACACATTTTTAATCCATTAACACCACGAAGTCATAAGAAAGTTAGAAGACTGTTATTATGTCATATTTACAAATAATTACAGTAAAACAATAATATGAATCAATATTATGGTAAGTCATAATGATTCTTCGATTATGATGATAAGTGTTTGAATGACTACGATAATAATTAGGAATAGGACGGTTCCAATTTGGTTCCAACCGGTTCTGGGACTGATCTCAAATAACGAAATTGCTAGTTTTGGAGATGATTTTCTGGCGAGAAAAATAGAATTCATTTATATCAAATTTTAAAGGGTGTTATAGTTAAGCGATTGAACTTTTCTAAAATTAGCGACCGATTTGGAACCGCACCATCCCTATAATAGATAGAAGTAATAATGTGAATAAGATAATGTTGACAGATAATGTATTGTTGTTATAATAATAAGCATATTGTAACAATAAAGAAATATGCATTCAGTTTAATTAATATTAATAATTTATTCGTAACTTAATTTGATCCTATCAGATCATGATTGTCAGCCGTTATAAATATATAGTTACATGGCAAATCATTTATTCGTAACTTAATTTGACGTGATACGGAAAATTTCCTAATTTAGCAATTTACAATTATTAATTTCAGATCATGATCGTCGGCCGTTATTAAACAGTTTCACAGTGAAATCATTTATTCGTAACTTAAACGGAAAATTTCCTAATTTAGCAATTATTATCATTCTAACTTCAGATCACGATTGTCTGCCATTAATAAACAGTTGCACAGTGAAATCATTTATTCGTAACTTAATCTGATATTATACGGAAAATTTCTTAATTTAGTATTAGCTAATCGCCTGCTGTTATAAACAGTTACACAGTGAATTTCGGTTTAGCGGTAATATTAATTAAAAATTTTGGTTTAACGGATGAAGTTTCAAGAATGGTTCCATAATAAACTTTAATAAAAACCTTCTCTATATAACGGGTTTTGGAAAATTTCCCTAATACTAATATTAATTGCCCAAACTATCCGTTAAACCAAAGTTCACTGTGTATGTAAAACAATATTAATATAGGCGAATTTCAGATACAGGCCGTTATACACTATAGGAAATTTAATTAACATTAAGAAGACCGTTATAGTAATAGAGTATGGATTTTATATAGTAAAAAATTGGAATCTAATTCTCTGTTCGTTATAGAGTGTTATAGAAAAGGCCGTTGTAGAGAATGTGTGCTGTATTTGTTTATTCAAATTATTCGTTTTATTTGCTTGTTCGAATAAGTTTTCAATGTAGTTCGAATACTCGAATTCATAATAATAATAATAATAATAGCGAATAAGCAATTAATTCGAATAAACCTTATTCGCGATTAACGAAATATTCGAAATACATCAGATGACTTTCAGTAATGGATGGAATTTTGAGTAGTCATGAGTATTTCGAAGTATTTCAAATAATCATTAATATTTCAAATAACTAGACAAATCTGATTAATTTGATTTTATTATTTTGAATATTTTGATAATTATACTCTAACATCTCATCAATTTTTTCTTGTGTAGATTGTAGCTAAAGATTTAATGATTGAACAAAACTTTGAAAACTATTACTTCTAAGTATATAAAAAGGTTGTGTATCTTTAATAATAAATTCTAATGATGTTATTTTTTTGTAAGTTACGAATATCTATTTGTTTTTTTAATTCCAATTATAAATTTTTGAATATAATTATAAATATTGGATATACTAATTTAAATTATTTAATTACTAGTCGGATTATTATTTTTTATTTTTTATTTATTGTATATCCCATCTGGATGTTCAGAAGATACATTTACCTTTATCTTATAGCTCCAAAAAAAGCTATTCTTTGGTCTAACTTTAATTTTCTTTTTTTTTATTTGAAGAAATAATCATCACCATCATCAGTTGTTACTAGTTGTCATTTGTCAAGAAAGATTTCAGATTGAAGTCTATTTTATTTAACAACAAATTTAAAGGATATTTAATATATTCGTGTGAATAATTTAATTATTACAGAATATCTTTCATTCCAATTTGGTACCAATATCTTTGAAAAAGGAAAAGGAGTAGTGGTTTGAAAATAGTATGTTTTATTAGTGCGAACTTTCAATCGCTAAGGCTTCTGAAAAATTGTCACATTTATAAAATTATTAGAAATTGCAATTGATAAAATATTATGAAAAAGAAAGAAATTTTTCTGTATTTCAAATGAGTTTTTTTACGCCATTGGTATTTTTAGATCCATTGAAGCTTTCCATAGATCTAAACTATAATATATATTAGTATACTATCTTGCACGCAAATTTGGTACCCATATTTTTGGAGACAGAGAAGTAGTGATTTGAAAATAGTATGTTTTATTATCATTTTACTAGTATTACAAACTTTCAATCACTAATGCTTCTGGAAAATAGTCACACTTATAAAATTATTAGAGATTTTTAATCAGGAGATATTTATAGAACAATGCTATAGAGAGAGAATCTTTATTTCATACAATTTTTTCGAAAGTTGCAATAGATAGAAGTATTACGATAAAGAAAGAAATTTTCTGTATTTTAAATGAGTTTTTTTGTGCCACTTGTATTTTTCATTAATTAAATCTTTCCATAACTCCAAAATATAACGTATATAATACCTTTCATGCAAATTTGGTGCCTATATCTTTGAAAGTGGAGGAGGAGTGATTGTTTGAAAACAATATGTTTACTATGTTTTTTATGTAAATTCATGCAAATCACGAAAAAAACACATCAATATATATTAATATGATGCACCTAATCCGGATAACTCGCTCTATTATTGACAAATCTGTGGGTTGGATAATTATCATAATATATCCGGATTTTCCTTTAAAAAATTTTAACTTCCGGAAAAAAAAAAGATTTGTCGGATATTTTTCCTTTTTGTTTTTATTTTTATTTTTATTTTTTTTGTACAGGTTTCCCATCCACAAAAAAATTTTATACTAAATAATGTATACTGTACATATATGTGTGTCATTACTTCAATATTTTGAAAAGTACCATAATCTGTATCTTTTGAATTTTAAATTATTAAATTTAAAAATATATACACTTAAATATGAATTTATGTGTATTTGTTTTCCCTTATTCAAAAAAATAAATTATAAATAAATAGTATAGAATAAGAAGGATCAGATAATTTGACTACTGGAATTTGGGATGAAGCATTTTATAGATAAAACAAATATTGATTAATCAGATATAGAAGGTTCAGATTATTTGACAATTCAAGGCTCAGGTGATGATGATACTTCAAAAAATCAAATAAAAAAAGTGAATTAAGTGAATACCATATTAAAATGCCAAATAAAAAAGTGCATTTTAAAAATCAGGAAGAAGTTTTAAACATGAATGGCTAAACATATATAAATGGTTAAATATGATGAAGCAATGAAGAGAATGCTTTGCACAATTTGTAAAGCACATCGGAAAAAAAATCTATTTGCAGGAAAAGGTGACAAATAAATATAATTAATTTTGCATTTTGCAATTCTTAAATTACTAATATTATAATGTTATTATTTGGGATCAAAGAGTGTTTCAAAATCTACCACTCTAGCAACTCATGCACTTTCAAACCAACATAATGGCTCTTTGCTTCTAGAAAAGGCAAGAATAACCATACAAGATTCTTCCAAAAAAAAACCACCAATAATGGTAACAAACATATAATTAATATAATGAAAATGATTTACTGGATTAGAAAAGGAAATATTCCAATTTCCAAACTTCCAAGTCTTATTTATATTTTAAAACTTATAGAAATAGTGCACTCAATTCCATTTTCTAGTGTGGACTGTGAAAGAGGTTTTAGCAAACAAAACAGATTTATGTAATGTAATCACATAATAATTAATATTAATAAGTGAAATTCAAATTTACATGTGAAATTCAAATTAGCAAACTAGAATTTCACCCCACTCCATTAATATTTCAATTTCACATACAATGGATATAAAATTTTTGAGAAATGGGTTTGGGTATGGATACAAAATTTTGATATCATGCGGGTATGGGGTTCAATTATTGTTATCCATGCAGACCTCTATCTATGTTTATGTTTAGTAGAGTGGAATATTAACATATTATTTATAGTGGATATGCGAGGGTTATACTCAAGAAATATCGGTTTGTGAGTGACCAGAAGGTTTAAACGAAAGAAAGAGACTATGTAATTGGTTTATCATAACAATCTCTGGATCATAGTCGAAAAACATACACATATTGCGTCATTGCTTTATTTTTTACCAAATATAAAAGAAAAAAAAAAGAATTTTGAAATATATATCGCATAGTGCGAATACAAAGAAAAAAAATTTTTCAGTAAAGGGAGGTCTCTATAACAAGTTATCATGCGGTTGTACTAATAGTTTCATAATTCTACAATAGTTCAATCTTTATAAATATCAATAATAGCAAAAGGTGTTCCAGAGTCTCCCACTGATCCCTCGTAACGCCATCCAAAATTCATGGATCCTTGGTGATTTCTACTGTCTCCTTTATTATTAGTTACATTTTTGGACATATCGTCGAATAAATCTATATCAATAACACAAGATAAATATTGCGATAATTAAAGTTGTGGTAAGCAAACAGAATCTTTTTAGAATTATTACCGCTATTAGGCGTAATATAACCATCATAAACTTGAATGGCCCACCAATTTGAGTAAATTATGTAGTTGAATGGGATACTCCACGCAAAGGCCAAAGATTTATTTTGATTTTTGATTTGGTAGACAATAACTCCTACAGTTCCTGTAAAATAAGGCCCAGAAATCTTACGAGCACCCCAAACCAAACCTTTACCACTTGGGATCGGAGTGGGAAGCCCATAATCAGACGTTCCAGAGGAAAAGTATAGATCAGGTTGATCAAGAGTTTCTGGTGAATGATTTTTGATAGTAATAGCGATTTTTCTATTAACGTCGCTTAGAGTCTGTATACGAGAAAAAATAAAATTATATCATATATGATTATGTATTTGATTATACAACGTGAAGAAATTGATCATACAAGTAAAGATCCACTAAGTAATGTTTCGGTAATCTTTTCAATTGGAAAAACACCTTCTGCCATGATTGAGATGAAAATAGTCAAAAGTTTTGCAAGAACTTCTCATTTTATAAGTTTTTTGTACAATAGTTAATAAAAATGATTCTACAACATTTGGTCACCAATTATTGATGTAAAACTCTATTATTAATTATCAAACTGAATATGCAAGTTACGAATAAATGATAATAATGATAATAATTGCTAAATTAGGAAATTTTAAATTACGAATAAATGGTTCACTGTTTATAACGCCGACGACCATGATCTCAAATTAGAATGATAATAATTGCTAAATTAGGAAATTTTCCGTATAATATCAAATTAAATGATTCGCTATGCAACTGTTTATAACGCCAACGATCTATAATAATTGCTAAATTAGGAAAGTTTCCGTATAATATCAAATTAAGTTACGAATAAATGATTCACTGTGCAGCTGTTTATAACGCCGACGATTATGATCTGAAATTATAATAATTGCTAAATTAGGAGATTTTACATATCATATCAAATTTAAAGTTACGGATAAATGATTTCACTGTTACTGTGTAACTGTTTAATAACGGCCAACGATCATGATCTGAAATTATAATGATAATAATTGCTACATTAGGATATTTTCCGTATCAAATTAAGTTATGAATAAATTATTGATATTAATTAATCTGAATGCATATTTCTTATAGTTACAATACAATATGTTTAATATTATAACAATGCATTATCTTTCAACATTTATTTTACATCCTTATTCGCATTATTACTTCTATACATTATATGTAAAGTTCAACCACTTAACTATAATAAGTAACACCCTTTAAAATTGGGTACAAGTAAATTCTATTTTCTCGCCAGAAAATCTCCTCCAAAACTAGCAATTTCATTATTTGAGATCCGCTCCAACCAGTTTCAGAACCGGTTGGAACCAATTTGGAACCGTCCTATTCCTAATCATTATCGTAGTTATTTAAATATTTATCATCATAATCGAATCGAAGAATCATTATGACTTACCATAATATTGATTCATATTATTGTTTTACTGTAATTATTTGTAAATATGACATAAGAACAGTCTTCCAGCTTTCTTATGACTTCGTGGTGTTAATGAATTAACGCTCATTCAAAAATGACTCCAATCGCTGGCAATATTTTTGATCTTGAAACATAAAAAAATCGTATTACTCCAAAAAATTTGATGTATTCGTATTTTATTATTATGTTTTATTATAATTATCTTTACATAAATAAATGGCCTCGTTCAACATTATGAAATTATGATTTGCAAAAAGCTTATTTCGAAGAAATTTTTTTTAACTAAAAAAAAAAGTTTCACAAGTGACTTCGTCATAAAGCATTCCTCTAGTTTACTATTAATTTACCACGTGGTTTCACTACCTTTAATAGAATATTAATTTGTATTATAAGTTTATTTATTATTAAGGAATTTTTTAATTGTTTAATAAAATAACAGATCAAAATAAAGTCTTAACCAATTAACCATTTGGACATAAATAAGTGTAAATGACCTTTTAATGGAATAAAATAACAATCAGCCCATTTAAATGCTGAACAACATATTAAGTTTTACACAAATATATACCCCAAAAAAATTCCCATGTAATTTTAGCCGATACAAAACTGTTGTTTTCGTATATACGCGTAGTCACACAGTTGACAAAGCCGAGAATCCAGTTTTCTGACATGAGAGATAAATTGTATTTAAAGACTTTTTGAAAACTTTAGACATTTACTTACTTTTCTCAGAATCAGAAAAAAACTTTTTACAATGGGCAATAGCAGTTCCACAATCATCTTTCAAAATTTTGGTAATGTCAATAATATTGAACCTGTTTGCGAGGCTATAAATATTCCTGGGGTTAAGGAATTTCCAAAAGATAGTCTAGAAGCACAGTTATATTGGATCGACCAAGCTGCGCTGAGATTCTTGACTATGAACTGGACCCTACACTATAAGTATCCGTGGAATAACAATGAAACTGTACCTGATGGCGCGACAAGTCATGGTGCAATTCAAGGAACGAAATGGGTTGATCAGAATTTCGGAGTTGCGGAGGTATCTGATTATTTGCAGGTAAAGTATTATTTGGTTACAAGTTCTTTAACAATTAAGACATACAAAAATAACGGAAATCATTCGCTGAATTCGTCACTCTTAATATATAGAAATTACAGAAGGTTTTAAACAAGCAGAACTTATAGATTTGAGTAATAGTCTTGGCAAAATTATTCTGGAATTACTTAATGGCCCTGAACAAAGCTTTCGGGACCAAGCAACAACTTTTCCCATCGGGGACACCAGAGTCAATGTTTACTTTGGAGGAGGGACCTTCAAAAGTTTGAAGGGAAATGTCGTGTTTATTTCTTATCTGATTAGCTGGTATACTCCAAAATCTCTATGTGTATAATAAATTATGTATTCATTTTTGTATTTAGTTGTAAAGCTTGTATGAAAAATATATTATTAAAATTTATATCAGTTACTTTCTTTTAATCTGAAATTAATTCTTAAAAAAAATTTAATCGTCTGCCGTAATATCAGTAGACGAATATGATGCTTATAAATTTGAACATACAGTATATTTCTTAATCATATCGAACATAAATAAAACATAAGTCACGTAATATCTACTATAATCCTATACTAATATTATACATTCTGGAGCCAAAATGGCTGAGTCTGAATGAAAAGAATACTGTTTGTGAAACACCTAGCAAGTAGATTTATTTCGAGAAAACAACATTATACCAGTCCAAGCTTCAAAATTTCTCTTGGAAGGATTAAGACGTACAGTTCCAATCAGGTGGGCTATATGTTATTTCTGGAATCAACTCGTGTATATTGGTCAGAGTAGGTATATGGAGGATATTATCATGTAGAATGGAGAAACACCGGGTAAATTGTTTCACAAGTCTTCCAAATATTACTTTCGAAATGCTAAGAGGTTTAAACAAAAGCCTGAAGCTAAGCATCCATGGTAAACTTACCTCGCAAATAAATTTCAATCATGTAATAATAAATTATACCAATGTATATATGACTATTGAGGCAAAATTATACATTAGTGCATTGCACCTTGACAGAGCAACTCTTTAAAATCGGCTTATATTATCAGTTTATTGATATATATATAAAAATGTCACTGAACAGTAGCAAAAAATCGTATTGCAGTTACACACTGCAAACATAGAAATAAATATATGGGAGCCAGACCTCCTAACCAAAATTGAGTTAAAATTGGTAAAAATATCAGACCTTGTTTACTTATTATAAAATGGGTAATTAGTATTAGGTAACAAAGAAAATTGTTGAGTCAAGTTTTATATAGTATAACCAACTTTGATCCCAATTTTTCAATGAGTGATTTTACTGCCCGATCCCCACATATCATTATCACCCGATGTTGATACAAATTATTTAAAATTCAGAAAATAGTTATTTTCATGATTATTGTGAAGTCAATGAAGCTGATATAAATAATTATTTAGGACAAGGATGTTATGATATTGACATTAATAACAGTCTTATGATAACAATTCTGGAAATAATACAAATGAAGATGATGATAATAATTCTCAAAAATTAGTTAGGAAAAAATGCAAACCTGAAGAAACATAATTTACGTAGCTTATCCAAATTTGACTCAAACAAAAAATAATATTTTAAATGTAAAATATGTAAAATGTAAAACTATACCTATGTGGGTTGGAAAAAACAAATTGGGAGAAGAAACATTATCTAATTTGTAAATTTAATTTTTTGTATGTCTCAGCTTGTTTGTTAAAATAAGTATATAGAAATTATTATTATCATTACCTATTGATGTTAAATTTTTTTTATTTGATGATCGCGTAACAAAAGAAAAAGATAAATATTAATATAATGCCATATATAATATACCATAAGAATTATTACCATTAGTAATATATATAAACTAGAATATTTTTGATGGTCGCGTGACAATAATCTATCATTTACTATATATCTAAACATTAATATTAAAATACAAGAATTAATACTACCCAACTAGAATATTTTTGATGGTCGCGTGACAATAATATATCATTTACTATAGATCTAAACATTAATATTAATAGTACAAGAATTAATATTACCCAACTAGAATATTTTGATGCTCACATAACAATCATCCATCATTCAAATAAACATTAATACAATGTTATATATACAATATTTACCCATTACCATTAGTAATATTAACTAGGGTGATGGTAACAATAATAATAGTCATTAGACCATAGATCGGTTTTTTGAATATGCATGAAAAACTATTGGAACATGTGGAATATGGAGAGCTTGAAGAAGAAATTCCAAAGATTTCGACATTTGCTAATTGGATAACTAGGACCTATGCAGGTTGGAAAAAACAAATGGCCGAAGAAACATTAGGCGCTTCTAGTTTATATATTTAATTTTTTTTCCAATAAAATAAATAAATTAATTTAATTTTACATTTTTTGAGCTCAGATCTGTCCCTCCCACTAAGTAAAGTCTTTCTCAAGACATATGTTTAAAAAAATTTTTCGATATATAAATTAAGATAGATAATATGCAAGTCCATCGCGTGATTAAAATTTTAGGTTATATAATATATTTTTTTGTGAAATTTTTTTGTGCTGCATTTTACGGTCATTTTAAAAAACGTAGATCGTCAAATTTTTATTCAAAATTTTAATATTAATATATAGCTGATTGACATTTACTGCTCCTACCCCTGCGAAGAAAAACAATCCGTCGTTTTTCTTCTGTTTTGTTTATTATTATTATATTAATATTAATATTAAAATACTTTACAAATTCGTGCACGTGCCGCCGCTCACTCACTGCGATGTTAACTTAAAATCAGTTTATTATTGTATGCAACTCAACTTTAAAAAACATGTTTACGTAATACACCAGTTCCGATTTGGTTAATAAAATTTTTAAATTGCATAAGGCGTAACATTTCCAATTATTAATCATCAGGCAGTCGGATATTTTATGGTAGGGAGTGTATTTTCTAGAATATATTTCTTAAAAAAAAAAAAAGCAAAAACAAATATGGACCTAACATTGTCCGAAGAACATTTTAATCAACTTGGTATATTATTGATTTCAGAAGAGAATTATGATGTTAAAATATACGTTGGTGCAGAGCCAAACACTACAGAATTTCATGCAAACTCGCTTGTTCTCTTTGTTCATTGTCAATTTTTCAAAAATATCTTCTCTGCACAAAAAGAAAATGAGTATTTTATTGTCAAGATACCAAATGTTAGCGGGCCAATTTTTAAAACAATTTTAAAGTAAGTTTATTATAAATTGTGTATTTTTTAATTAAACACATAATTTTAATATTAATTTATTTATGTGATTTTTAAAAGGTATTTATATACTTGTAATATTGATTTAAGTAATCATGCTGGAATCAATATATTGGAATTGTTAAATGTGGCTAAAGAGTTTCATCTAAAGTCATTTTACGAATATATAAAAGATCACTTTATTAAAAATATTGATGAATAGATAAGAAATAATCCAATTAAAATATTACAATTTATATATAGTAATGAGAAGCTTGGTGAATTTGAAAAGTAGATGTTTAGAAAGAGTTAGCGATAGAGGCGATGAATTGTTTGAGTCGGGCATATTTAATACATTGGAAAAACAAATCATATTGGCAGTTCTTGAAAGAGATGATCTATGTGTCAATGAAATAGTTGTATGGAGAAAAATTCTTGAGTGGGGATTAACAAGGCATCCAGAAATTATTGATGACAATGTCAAAAATTGGTCATCACAAAATTTTGTTGATTTAGAAAAAACAATTAAAGAATTTCTTCCTTTAATTAGATTCCAGGACATCACTAATAAAGATTTTAGTTATGAAATTTTCCCATATCAAAAGCTTTTTCCTGAAGCTTTCTGGAATAATATCTTACTTTATTATATATTTCCTGGAGATCAATCAAATTTACGTTTACTACCATCAAGAAATCAAATATTTAAATTATTTGCAAGTTGGATTGATAAAAAGAATCCACCATACACTTCACTTAGAGATGTTAAATATAAATTTAAACTTTTATATCGAAGTAGTAAGGATGGTTTAAATGCAGATATATTTCATCAAAAATGTGATAATATCAGCAAAACTCTTGTGGTAGCTACAATAAACGATTCTGATCAAATTGTCGGAGGTTATAATCCATTTGATTGGAGTGGAGATGATTATAAAAGTACAAATGAAAGCTTTATTTTTAACATTAGCAATAGAAATGACATTAGTACTGCAAAATATAGTAATCCTAATACTAATTCAAATAGCTCTAATAATAATGCAATTTATTGTAATCCTTATTATTTGCCTACTTTTGGCAGTGATTGTAGTTTTTTTTTAGTCCTACTACTTCTTATGATATTCATTTTAATATAAATGGTGATATTTGTAGTTCGCCAAGTTCTTATAATAGCATCAATGTAGTAAATGGCAGTAAATTTGATGTACTACAAGTTTTCCAAATAATTAATAAAGACTAAAACAATTATTGCTTATTATTATGGAATAACTTCTGCAAAAGAAATACATTCCAGAACTGGCATTATTATTAAATAAAGTAAAATACTTGTAACAATAATTTCATCGTATAACTTCTAGAAAAAGAAAGAAGATTTAATTATATGATATATATTAACAAGCTTATAACTGAGAACGCAATGTGAGCCTTTTGCTTTTCGTGTTACAAAACACACACCGTGCTACGCGAGAATAAAAATTCAATTAAGTTGGGTTTTGCGTCTTCTTCGTCGCAAAGAGCAAGACAATAGTCTATTTTATTAGATTCGAAACATATAAATAGGACAGCCGTCCAACCTTTTTTTTTTATTATTTTTTCGTAGAGAAATTCCTCTCGGGCCATTTCAGCGCACGGAACTCAACCTTCTACATTCGGCCACATGAAATAATTGTTCGTTATTATTATACAACATTATTACAGGAGAGACCGTTCTGATATATAACACAAAATTTTTAATTGTTGATTGATTGATTGACCAATTAAAATCGTGAATTTAAAAATAAAACATTTAATGTAGGTTTGACTCATTTTGTCAACAATCACTTCATGAACAATTATTTCATTAACAAATGGTTCAAATTTAAGAAGTTGGAAGCAACCATTTGAAATAGTCTGATAAATTAAATCGTACTACTTGAAAATGTATTTAAAGGGTTGGTTTTCGACTTGGTTGAAGAATAACTCTCTTCATAACTCTTCTTTTGACCATATTTCTCGATATAGTCAAAATAACCTTATAATACAAATTAATATTCTATTAAAGGTAGTGAAACCACGTGGTAAATTAATAGTAAACTAGAGGAATGCTTTATGACGAAGTCACTTGTGA